CCCGTCAGTATTTTCGGACGCAACCTTGAGAAGGAAGGAAGAAGATACAGGAAGAGATAGAGGGCGGGACATTCCGTTTCGCCTAATCCAGCACAGCACAATACTATGCTCGGCGGATGCCGCCGGCTGACACGGCCATAACTCGAACTTCGGATAACTCGAAACGATTTGCCCGGTCCCTAAAAGTTCGAGTTAACGAGTTTTCACTGTACCACCTTTTCGGTACTGCCAGCCCTAAGAGCTAAGCAGCTGAGATCTACAAAAGGCATGGACACTATTACGACAAGACTTGCTCGCCGTTGACTCATGAGTTTTGCAAATCGCTTTCCAGAGATGACATCAGTATCAATAAATATTACTCAAGCATAAGTAAGTAATGAGCAACAGTAAACTGAATTTACCTTATTTGAGCACGAGAAGATTTCAGGAGCCGTTATGAAATAAATGAATGCATATTCGTAATACGGTCCAAAAAAAGGTAACTGAAAATATAACAAGTTTTTTCTGTATTTGCAGGTAAATGATCCATGATGCCACCCACAATATTCTTTGGTGGAACGTATCTGGATAGTGGAACATCATTTCCGCATGAAGCTGTTGGCAACTTTTGTTACGGTGCTATCTAATGCATATCCTGCAGCGCTAAAGGTAAAGCACATTTTAATTTTAGATTACTTTTTTTTTTTACCACCCTTTACTTTAATGCAACAACAACTTCATACTGGACCAGGCAGACACATTCCAGCACAAGTGAAAGAAGAAACTGATGGAACTGCCATCTTGACCAATTGATACCTCAGACGCCAGATTCTACTGATTGAAGTCGGACAGAATGGTAAAGTACAGTATATGGTGGCTGCAGCAGACTACATATGGATCTGTCCAAGGTGTCGGATGTTACACCAGGAGTAATATATTTAATACATAAAATAAATTTAATAACACTTAGACAGCATTTAGACAGGGTCGAACCAATCTTTAAAATATTTAAGGGGAAAATATTTTCCCCCCTCTCGGTAGTTTTT